TGGGGAATTGGGGAAGGGGAACAGCCAAGTTGTTGTCCTTCAGTCTTAGTTGTAGAGGGTGCAGCTAGCTCAGCTCCAAGTCCAGTTGCTATCCGGCCGCCCGTCATCAGCTCGTGGCCACTCAGTTCAAGGTGCCGTGTTCAATCTTAGTTGCGGATGGGCATAGCCCACGATCCCATGTGGGAGCTGAACTGGAAACCTTGTTGCTAACCAATCAGCCATCCGGCTGCCCGTCAGCAGCTCAGCAGCAACTCAGCTCAGGTGCAGCTCACTGGCCCATGTGGGAATGGAACCGGCAATCCTGTTGCTCAGAGCTTGCACTCTTAACCAACTGAGCCACTCGGCCAGCCCTGAAATCTTTTTTTATTCTAGGTGTTTCTAACTGGGGAGGCTATGCCTTGGCCTGCGCTCTGTACACCCTGAACTCATGTGAGGTCCATGGACGTTACCTGAGGAAGGCAATTGGGCCCTCCAGAGCACCTGAGGAACAGAGCTGGACTCAGGCCCTCCCATCCATCACTAAGGTAACAGACTCCCACAGGCCACTCCCTTGGAAGCAACTTTTCGCTGGATGAGGAGTAGGGCTGGTGTTCCAAGCCGTAAGCCCAGGGTCAGCACCACTGCTGCCCATCAATAGCCAGAGGTCTCCCAGCAGGCAACCACCAGACTGGATTGGGTGACCTTTAATCTATCAGTGATCCTAAATTATTATGGAAGTCCTGATATAAATGATCAGGTTCCTTCTAGGCAAGTTGCTTAGCCTCTCTGAGCCTCCTTGCCTTTGTACAGCGGGGCCCATCAGCATAGCTGTTGGAAAAATAAGTTCTCAGGTAACATTGCTGCTGCTGGTGCCGCACTTTGAGACCCTGGATTAGAGCATTAGTTTTCAGTGTCATAGAACAGGGTTGCTCTGGGGAAGGCAATCCCAGAGACAGGAAGGTTCCTGAGTGTTGAGCCTGGAGATAGCTGCTGAGATGGAGTGGGCTGTTATTACAAGTCCCCAGCTAGCCCCCGACTGAGGGCCCAAAGCCCCTCACTTCTGGGAAAGGTCTGTATCCAGAGCCCTGTGCTGCCTCTTTTCTTTTTTGACATTGTCTTACACCCGTTCCGATCCCTTTTCCTTCTGCCTGCCTCTCCCTCTTTCTCTGTCTCTTTCTCCCTCCTGCCCACCACACCCGTTTCTCTCCAATGCCTCCCTGGATTGGTGGTGTCTCCATGTTACAGATGAGGGAGCTGGGCTCTAGAAGGGGACGTAGCTTGCCCAACACCACCCAGCTAAGGGGCAGAGCTGAGATCTGGGTCTGTGTCTCTGACTCCGTACTCTGGGCTCTTCCCAACGTGGCTCGGGAGTTTTCAAGTTCCTGGTAATGGCACCAGTTCCTGGTAAAGCCAGGGTGCCCTAGGGGAGAGGAGGGGAGAAGCAGGTCTCAGCAGCTGCAGTGACATTTTCAGGGGAAATGGCCGGCCCTAGACGGACCCAGAGGGCCTCTGTGCTTTCTTGGCACTTCCTGGATCTGAACTGGAAAAATCAAACCACTCAGGGGGCTGTCTCACACATGATTCCTGATTCACACAGACACAAAAGAATGAACCCAGTCAAACACACTCACACAGCCCAAACACCTACCCTCCGGGGACGGAAAATTCTCCTTTCGTGTTTCCACCTAGTCCTTCATAAATGTATTAATAACGCACCACCATTACAAAGAAAATAAAAAGGAACCTTTTTAAAGCAAAAGTACAAACGTGTGTGTTGATCCCCTCCTCTGGGCCAGACCCAGGCTTGCTCTGGGAGACAGCGAGAGGTCAGACCCGGCCCCTGGGTAGGGAACTCTGGGTCCACAGGGGAGAAAACATGAAAGGTAATTTCAGGAGCCAGGATGGAAGTGTGCACAGCAGGCGCCTGTGGAGACACAGAGAACAGGGACCTAACTCATTCGGAGAGTTCCAGGAAGGCTGCCTGAAGGAGGTAGCACTCAGCTGGGTCTTAGAGGGTAAGCAGGATATCAGGTAAGGAAGGGTGAGAAGGGCCTTCCAGGCGGCGGGACCCACGTAAGGTGTTCAGGAGAATAACTAGAATGGTTAAAATAAAATTCTGTGGTCATTCCATGGGGGTCCCTGAGTCATTAGGAGACGCTGGGCAGAGCTGTGGCCTGCGATGGTGATGACGCTTCATGGATGACAGGCAGAGGAATGTCCCTCGTCTCTAGTCTGTGAGTTGCTTGCAAGTAGGGCCTCCCACATTTAGGGACGGTTGTTAGGAGGCTAATCATACCTGTAGCAGCAGTGGGCACCGTGCTGAGAAGCCCAGGGAAGGTGGCCATGCCCTGCCCACTAAGGCCCTTGGCTGTGCCCTGGGGTTCTACTTGAGGGCAGAGCAAACGGCTGGAGAACATTCCCTACACCTTGTCAGGGGCCAAGAGCCGATTGATGACATGTTATGGGAGGGACTAAGGATGGATGGATGGATGACTGGATAGAGGGACTGCTGGCTGCCTAGCAGGGTGGATGGATGGGGTGTGTGTGGATGAATGGATGGATGAACAGAACCGATGGGTGAGAGGGTAATGGATGGATAGATGATACAGACAGGCAGGAACACGGCCCCCGGCTTCACCCCGGGCTTCCGTCCTCTTCCAGCACTTTCATCTCACTCTACTGTTTTTTACGAGGTATAACTGACATAAAGTACATCAACCTTAAGTGTACATTGGATGAAATTTTACATGTATATATACCCGTGTAGCCATCACCAAGATCACTATACAGAACAGTCGCAGCTTCCCAGGAGGACCCTCTCCCCCACCCCACTTTGAACAGCAACATCACCTAGCCATGATGTCAGCCTGCCATGTTCCCAACGTGAATCCCGAGTGACCACCCCCACGCACAGGCTCTCAGCCCGGAAGTCATCCTGGGGCCTCTTTTCCCACTCACAGCGAACAAGGCCCCAAGCCCCGTACACCCGGCCTCCCTTCGGTCCTCCGTCCCTCCTCTCCTGCCCACTGTCTCAGCCTGGACCAGCGTAGCAGCCTCCAGGCGCTCGGCCTCCAGCTGCTCTCCCCCATCCCCACCACCTCCACTTGGAGAGGCCTCCTCGAAGACGGTGATTCCTGGAAATTGGCAGGCAGTCCCTGCTGGCCCAGCTGACCCCTGGGGCTCTTAGAGGCTGAGTGCCAGCCAGTTCCTGTTGACTGATCAAGTGAACCCTGGGGACCCCCAAGGCCCTCCCTGGGACCCAGGAGGATATGAATGGTGGGGGTAGGCAGTATGCTGGGAGGAAATGGTCCCATGGTCCCAGAAACATTCCCCTATAAAGAAAGGATATGACCCAACGGAGAAGAGAAATGGGATAATAAAGCCCAAACAAAGGGCAGGAAATGCCACTCTGGGTTGGGTGGCTCCTGGGAGGGGGCTGTTGAACAAACAGCTTTCTGGAAATGCTCTTGGACCTTCCCCCCACCTTGGCCCCCAGGGCAGAGCAGAAATACAGGCCCTCAGGCCAGCTGAGAGTAGAGACAGTTCCCCGGTGACATTTGCCAACGCATTCTCCATTGTTTTGAAAAGTTTTCAGTGAGTGCTCCTCATAGTCTGTCACTTGGCTCATTTCTGCTCTTTTGTCACCTGTGGTCCTAGCTGTCCCCCCTCCCGAAAGTCTTCCTTGAGTCACTCCAATAAACGGGGTTGGGTGCCCCTGCTCTGTGCTGCGATCCCTATGGACTGTGCCTGCCTGAGCACTCATCTAGACTGTGAACCCTCTGGGGGCAGGGACCATGTCACATTCACTGCTGTATCCCTGGTTCAGGACCTGGCACATAGCAGGTGCTCAGTAAAACTTCCATGGACAATTGAGTGAATTAGAAATGGCTGAGCAGGGAGGTGAAAACCCTTCTCACATCTGTCATATCTTCCTGTTCTAGATTCCTTGGTCCCCTCCTCTCATCGCCTCCTTTTTTTATGGAGAAGAAAGGAGGGGAGAGATGTGTTTGCCCCTCAGGCACTGTCCCCTCTCCTTTTGTCTTTACCTAAGGCCCACCTTCCTCAGGGGACCAGAGCTATTCAGCTGGGACAGACAGCTTAGTGGCTTAGACAAGTGGTTCTTTGGGACCTTTTACAAGGGAGAGAGAAGGAAGGCAATCACATCACTTAAGAAACCTCTGGGCTAAAGGCCAGGGATCCAGCCGTGCCAATAATAACATGCCTCATTTCATGAGCACCTACTGTGTGCCGAGGACCATGCTAGGTGCTTTATTTGTATTATCTCATTTAGTCCTCACAACAACCCTCTGAAGGTGGCATTATTATCATTAATCTGCCCCAATATACAGATGAGGACACTGAGGCACGAACTGGTTAAAACACCTGCCAGGAAAGCCCCAAGTCAGATCTGTCTGATTCCCAAACCACTCTGCCTCCTGGGCCCTGGGCTATAGCATCAGGACAGGCTGCTTTTCCTCAATGGCTCTGCTCGCAGCAGCTGCTCCCACATCTACACAGGGTAATATCTAGAAGGCGACAGCAGCAGGCCTTGGCGCATGCCCCACAGGAGGCTAACAGTGGGGTCTCAGGAGGAATGGGGGCCTTCCTGGCACAAAGGCCAGCAGTAGCAGGTAACCCAGAGCTGGGCAAGGGAGGTTGGCAGGAAGTAGCCCAGGCCGCAGCTGGAAAAGGAGTGACTCGTGTTTGTTAAGAAAGCGCAGGTTTCCATAAAAAAGCATATTGGTTACATGAAGATAACTAGCAGGAAAGAGCCCAAGCTGTTCAAAGTGGCTGCTTCTGGGGGTGGATTTGGGGATCAATGTGACGTGATGTGGGGCAGTTTTTTTCCTCATTATGAGTCTCCCAGTGGCACTAGTATTTTTAACCAAAATTGTATTTTTTTAAAAAGGGACCAGTCAAGTCAAATGCTCGTCCTCTGAGACTTATTTGTATTTCTTTTTTCCTCTCCCTTCACTACTTCTATCTCTGGCCCATCTTTTCCCAGGAAGAAAAAATGTTGGACATCCTGGTAAGGCATGAAGTCCGGAGTGGCGTCTCGGGCAACGTGGGCATGGAGGTGGACGGGCTGCCCTTCCACGGAACTCACACCCAGATCATCCAGAAGCTGCTGGATATCACCACGGGGAGCGTGTGACCACACATGTTACATGCATGTGGAGTGCGTACCAGATGGCCACGCCTGGATCTAGGGAAGACATCCCGAGGGTCCCGCCTCCTTTCTACAATTGCTTAGCCAGTGAACACCAGCCCCAGGTGAGCTTGTACGCTGCCTGGACGCTGTGTGCCCGCTTCCTGGGAGGGGGTAGTGCAGGTGGACCAAGGCAATGTTTCGTTAGGGTGTCCGGTTTTTGCTTTTATTCCTCAAGTGCTAGAGGCATTGATTTCAACCGCCCTTCATCCTGGCTTCTTCAGGTCTCCCACGTGGTCTGCTCTGAGAGTCTCCTGACCAATCACTTATGGGGACACAAGTGAGCCATTAACTCCCAGGCAGACAAAAGAGCAGACGTCACCAGGCCAGGAACAATCCCCCAGGCTAGTTAAGAAATAATAGAATGTACGAATGTGTTCTGTATATTTACGAAGCTCTGGGACTCTGTTAAAGGTTTACGCACCACCACGAACAACAAATATTTATACTTTTAAAATGTTTTCTTTTGCAAACAGCATTTTGTTTTCTTAGGCAAAAGAGCCCTCAACCTTATATTTTCCACCTTTGCCTTCTCTCTGCCCTTTACCTCCCTTCACCCCACACCCCCGGGGCCCCCACACAGAGCCTGACACTCCGTCCACCTCCCCCACCTCTGCTCACTCCCAGCCTGGAGCCAGGCGCTTAGCCCTCCCTGTGTGGGAGGGTGGCCACGGTCCCAGAGCCCGGGGCTGGGTCAGACAGTCCGGGGCTTAGATCACTCCCAGAGGCCTCCTGGCCGAGCCGCGCCAGCTTGCTCTGTCTTCTTCACAGCCTCCCACTGAGCATTTCCCAACAAGATCAGAAGCAGCATCACTGACCACATCCCGTTACACTCACTTATTGGGCCCATGTGGCACCTGTGCTGACTCACTGCTGAGTGATGGCCGGCTCATCCAGAGGGGTGGCCTACTTCCCAGTTAGGGCCCCAAACACCTATTGAGCCTGCTGTTCTGTTCCCTTAAACACGTCCAGTTTGATTCTTTAAGGAACATTAGTTGTAAAGTATGGAACACGTGCTACAGACATTACCTCTAATTGTACACTCAACAGTAACACTGAAGGGTAATAGTAAAATGCCCTAACTCTCCCCTACACAGGGCCATGGTGAAGCCTCTGGCCAGAAGGCTGGGGTGGGGACTGTCCAGACCTCTCTTTGTCATTCTGGAGGGGAGTCCCCACCTACAGGTCTGTGCTCCTGCTGGTGTGGCATCACGGTCCCCATCTGCAGCTTCTCACAGCTCCTGGAACCCGCCTCAGCTCTAAGCTTCGTTGGCCACGTCTCTTCTGCTTACAGTTTTTGTTTCTGACCTGAGACTGCAGAGCTCCATGTAACGGGGGCCTCTGATTGAGAGTGGACCCTGGAAATTTTTGAGATCCTGATGGCGAGACGAGAGAAAACATCACTCTGATAAAGCCGCCAGCATTCTTCTGACTCACATTTTGGGAGCAGTCACTAATGGGTCCTTGGTTTTGCAATAGTATAGCAACTCTGTTTCGGCGTGGAGAAGTTTGAGGCATGATCACGTAATAGGTTCCCTTCACCGTGGGCAGAAGTTTATGGGGAAATGATTAATTCGTTTGGGAAAGAGGCTGAGACCTGAGTAGAGTCCAGAGAAGGCTGAGTGCAGGGGTCCTCCCTCGGGAGCGAGGCATGTGAAGGCCCCTCTGCAGGAGAGGCAGGCCCATGGCCCTGCAGTGGGGCGCAGGTGTGGGGCATGGCTAGGAGAAGGGCCCTTTTCAGTGTCGTCCAGGATCCAGTTTTCATGCTTTCCTGTTCCACAACACGAGTCCTGCTCTGGCCATTAGTAAAGTTTTACTCGGTTTTGTCCTGGTCTTGGCTATGCTTTGGGGAAGGGCTTGTGTCCACATGTGTGGGGTGGGGTGGTGAGCATGGCTGTAACCTGGAGAAGCTTGGTTCAGGGGAAACCTGGTTACAGGGGAACAAGAGGTGACCTTGTCCCTGCACAGGGAATGGTGGGGCTGGAGATGGGCTGGGACATCCACCAGGATGGACTCATGGGGCATGCGAGCATCCCTAGGTATTTGCAGGAATGTTGGGGGTGGGAGGGGTCCTAATAAACAGTGCCTGGGATGCTCTGTTGGTGTTCAAGGGCAAGCTGGAGACCTTGGTCAAGTCAAGGTGCACATGACCCGCAGACCCTGCAGGTGGGACTTGAAAACAAGCAAGCCAGCCAAGGGGGTCAGGGCTCCCTAGCCCCTGGCTGTCCTCTGGCCAAGTGTCGTCCATTGCTCAGCTGGGCCAGGCACTCCCTTGAGGAATTTTCTGTCTCTCATTGCACAGACCCTGCTGACCGCCAGCCCCACCTTAGTCCAGCCCACTGTGTTCTCCTGCTTTCTACCAATTCCATGTGGGTTCCACTGGGCCCAGAATGAAGTCTAATTCTCAGATTCCCAAGACCACTGCTCTAGGCAGGATGTGGCTTAATGGCAGTTCACATAAAATCAATATATGTCAATGGTGCGATGTGATGTGCTTGCCAGAAAAGCCAATGCATCGATAGAAGCACAGTGAGGTAAATCAAAGGTCCCTTTCCCCTCGGTGCAGGTCAGACTGACTTAGTCTCATTTCAGACCCAAGCATCACAGTTGAAGAACTGGGTTTTGTTCAGATGAGGTACAGGAAGGCGACCACTTTAAAATCTAAGAAGTGGAGATGGCTTGGACAGCTGTCTGTCAGAGACTAACCGGATGTTCTCCAATTCTGCTTCCTCTTCCTGCACACATAGGAAAACTATATTTCCCAGCCTCCCTTGCAGTTAGGTTGGGGCCATGTGGCTCGGATCTGGCCAATGGAATGTGAGTAGCAGAGATAGCAACCACTTCCAGGCTTGGCCATAAACACCCTGTGAGAGTCTCTTTGTGCGGCTTCCTCTACCTGTGTGGATGGAAGAGGAAGACCCCAGGATGATGGAACCTCTTGATGGAAGGATCCTGACTCACTGCCATCGCTTGGCAAAAGACTTGTCAGAAAGCAGCTGCTCACTGGACTTTGCATGAACAGGACAGAAACTTTTATTGTTATAAGGCACTGTGATTTGGGAGGGATAAACTGCAATACAATGCAGCCTTGTCTGATACAAGCTTGGGGGATTAACACTGAGCAGTAGGAGATGAGCGTTGTCTTCAAGTACCAGTTCCCGCACGGTCACATGGCTCCAGAGGCCAGAACTAAGGCCAGTGGGAAAAGTGGGTTCACTTTGGCTCATTGAGAGTCTGCCCAACCTTGGAATGACTCCTCTTGGGTAGGAGCAAATTGGTGTCATTGGTGGCATTTGTAGAGAAATCGGACCACCATTTTGGGGGACATGCCTGTGATAACTCATGTAGAGGGAACTGGACATCATGACCCCTACAGTACATTCCAGCACTGATGTCTAGTGTCTCACCTCACGGTGTCCTTCTGATAGTTTTAAAGCAAATGGAATTCAAATCCCACCATTTCCCCAGAGTGCTGGGCACCGTTGTGACCCCAGGGCGATTGTCATCAGACACCCCTATCTTGGCAGATTAATTCCGGGAGACTATAGGATGGCCAGCTATAAGAAGCAGAGTTTTCTAAAACTCTTTGAACCAAGAGGGCCAGATACTGGCTCTCTCTCAGCAGATGAGGGTGTATTCTGTGCTGAAAATTTCTCGCACTCTGGTCTGACCAACAACCCACAGAACACTCTCTATAAACAGGAAGATGAGGCTCATCTAGCCAAGCAACACTGGTGAATAAGAAAGGGATCTAATGGCTTCTGTCACCTCAGTCCAAGCCAGATGGACCTTTTCCTCTACCCATTCTCCCAGGAGAGAAAGGATTCCTAAGCTCCAATAATGTCCGCAGTCTGTTTGGAAGAAGGATTGACTCTTCCGGAACACTCAAGACTCCGGGAATCTGTCCCAACGAGGGATTAAGTGACCAAAACCAAATTTACATTTTAATATGATGCAGTTAATCCTTAGCAATAAACATGGAGCCTGCCACTATGAGAAGATACTCCAGCCTATAAAGGCTGGTCAACAGATGTGGGCCTCCCCAGACAAAACAGTGAGGACAACCCCTGAGAGATGACTGCAACAGGCCTTTCTGCTTTGGCAATCTGCTCTGGTGAGGAGGCTCTGATCAAGCCCTCCCACGGCAGCTGCTCAGAGGGTGGAAGAGGCCGCGTGTCTAAGGGCAGAAGGAGTGATAGTCTCCAAACCACAGGGCTAGGCTCTGTCCTCACAGGGGAGATGGCCAAGTCCCAGAGTGGATTTGCAAAGAGAAGGGGGAGGAGACTTTTCTTCACTTGAGGGCTCCATCCCTCTTGGACACTGCTAGGTGATCAAGGGTAAATCCCCTAATTTCTCTGTTCAAGTTTTCTGTGAGAAAGTCAGTCCCTGGACATTCCTGACTCCATTGGGTGTTTCAAGAGCCCTCTAGATCCCTCTGGTGTTAGAAGACGTTCCTTCCCCATAAGGACTGCAGCACTCTAGCTGTGGCTGGTTACTTTGTTTTATTCGGGGACTCAAGTTTGCTACGTAAATCCATTACACAGTCCAACACACACGCACTTGGCATAAAAGAAAGGAAAATACAACTCTTGATAGTACACGGGACGGCCCTCAGCACATCCCAGTCCATCTCAGTGAGAACAACCATGTTTAAGGTCAAAATGGGGGAAAATTTGAAATGAGGAGGCATGGAGGGCTCAATCAGTGCCATTGCCCCAGTAAGATCCTGGGCTGAGGCCTGGGCTGGTGGACTTTTCTTGGCTGTGTGGCCATTTGCACCACCTTCAGACCCTGTCACCTCCTCCTCTAGGAAGGGGAAGAGAACCTCTTCAGGTTATAGGAGGCCATCCATAAGGAGCTGGGGCAGGTACCACCCAGTCAAAGCCAAGTGTAGTCCTGGGACCCCACTTCTTTAGGACAGTCCAGCCTGGGCTCTCTGCCTCTGGACACCCCTGATGGAAGGGTTAAGAGGTGCAGGGTAAATCTACCTCTTGGAGAAGTGGGCAGAGACGGGAAGAGAGATTGAAGCTGTTCTTCCTGGCCCTCTCTTTAGCAGATTTCAAAAATCTTTAGCAGATTTCAGAAATGTTCTACTGATGCCAGCTTCTATCTCCCCATACCTGTCCCATTTGTCCTTTGGCTGTGAGGAGCTCCAATCCCAGGGAAGTCAGAGCTGGCCCAGCCCACCAACCAGGACATCTGGAGGACTAGCATTTCTGTTAAGGTTGGCAGGTCCCTGGGGCAGTAATAGGCTCTTCTGGTCCTCGGTATGGTCACCAGGGCAGGGGCTCAACATGGCCAGTGCAGAGAGGCAGGAGAGCTGAGCCCACACCCAGCCTTTCAGGACAAGACAAAAGTGCCCTGGGCTACATGTGGCCCACGGGCCCACTAGCACTCTCCAGGTGGGTGAGGTGAGACATCATGCCGGAGAACAAAGAAGGCCGGGGCCACCTCCTCTCTGTCACAGGAGCCGTTTAAACCATAGTGGAGCTTTGGGCTGAGAGATACCAGAGACTGTGTCACTGTTTTGTTTGTTTCGTTGTGTCTGAGAACTCAGGGAGAATGCCATGCTCCTCTCTGAGACTGCTAGACACTCCATAGTGGGTGTGGCAGGGGACAGAAGTGGGGGCGGGGTGGGGGGACACGGCCAGTGGTCACATGACCCTAGCCTCCGTGTCTTGGCACACAGCTGTCATGGAGACCCTGGCCTTTTAACCATGGATACACACACACACACACACACACACACACACACACACACACACAGAGGCTTCCGAGTCTGGTGTTCCAAGGCAGATGGAAACAGAACACTAATTAGAAAGAATCTGTGTGGGGGGAACCCCAGTAAACACACTGGCTTTAGGCCTCTGTCCTGACACTGGTGCTTCAGTACTGATTTTTGAAAGGACCAGACATCACCCCAGGGAGCTCCGAGATTTGTTTTCCATCAGCCTGGGGCTTGGGGAATCTGCTCAACTCTTCCTATGAAAATGCAACATGTCTGGAGCCAGGGTCTCTCTTCTGCCTGTCACTCCCATCACTGTCCCCTCATGCACATTCCAAGTGCTCCAAATGCCTCCCCAACGTCCTTCTCCCCATCCCGCTTCCTGGCCCCACTCATCTTCCAGTTCCTTCATGGGTTAAGCTCAAGGGTTAATGGTGACAATACAGCTTCGTGTGTCACCTCCTCAGATAACATTGGTGCATTTGGATAGGTGTCATCTGTGACCACAATGGCACTAGAGGCCCTGGCTGGTGCACACCCAAGTACCCACCCCCATCTCCCAATCCCTCTCTCCTATGTCCTCACACTGCACCCCCCAACCCAGCTTCCTTTAGAAAACTTCCTGGAGGTACAGTTCACTGTCCCTCCCGCCAGCAGCCCAGCCTGCAGCAGAAGACACCCATGAGCTGGCAGAGCTGATCCCACAATCAACAGCCCCATCAGGCTCAGCAAGCCCCAGCAGCCTCCCTGGAACCAGAGAGGTCTTGCTGCAGCCCAGGCTCAGGGTTCAGTGGCGCCGGCCCATTGTCCCCTCCAGCAGAAAGAGGCACCTGCACTCGGCCAAGCAGGCGGCAGCCAGCCAGCAAGCTCAGACCTCACGGCACACCACATGTGGGCGACCCCGCGGCTAGGCCAGCCTGGCCGTGGGGGACCCTTCCCCGCCAGGCGAGTTAGGGGTCTGGAAGGTTGAGTGGAGCTTCGTTAACAGCTCAGGCTCCTCGCTCTTCCCGCCGGAGGCCTCGGGGGCACCCAGTGGGTAGGCCTCCCTGGGCCCACCGGTCCTGGAGCAGGTGAAGAAGGCCAGGCAGGCCCCGCGGAGGCGGGCCAGGTCCCGGTGGGTGGTCTCGCTGACGAAGCAGTACAGCACGGGGTCGGCCACACAGTTGAAGCTGGTGAGGAGCAGGGAGAAGTGGTAGGCGTTGAAGATGCCCTTGGCGAAGTCACAGTTAGACTCCCAGAGGCTGCGCACCAGCAGCAGCGCGTGGTAGGGCAGGAAGCAGGCCAGGAAGATGACCACGGTGCTGAGCACCAGCCGCTGGATCTGGTCCTTGCGGCTCTTCTGGGTGCCGTGGCTGCGGTGCACGGCCCGCAGGATGCCGCGGTAGGAGGCCAGCAGCAGGCAGAGGGGGAAGAGGAAGCCGACCAGGAAGCGGTAGTAGTTGATGCCTCGCTGCCATGGCACCAGGGGGTAGTGCTCAAAGCAGACGCGGTGCTGGTTCGCGTCCTCCACCACCTCCTTCTGCAGGAGGAAGTAGATGCTGGCCAGCAGCTCCTTGGCCCAGATGGCCACGCTGACGCCGACGGCCGCCTTCAGGGTCCGGAACTGGTGGAAGCGGAAGGGGTGGGCCACGGCCAGGTAGCGGTCGATGGAGATGCAACAGAGGAAGCCCACGCTGATGTAGATGTTCTCGTACAGGAGGATGCCGCACACCTGGCATGACAGGTCGCTGTACGACCAATTGTCGTGCTGCAGCACGTACTGCAGCCAGAAGGGCAGCGAGCAGATGTAGAAGAGGTCGGCCACTGTCAGGTTGCACAGGTACACGCCCAGCTCGTTCCGGGCCTTGACCTGCAGGTAGCCGAAGTACAGAGACAGGCAGTTGGCCGGGAAGCCCACCACCAGCACCGTGACGTACACCACCGGGGCGAGTGTCTGGTGGATGGTGTGGTCGATGGTACAGTTCTGTGAGGCGTTGTTCGCAGTGACGTTCCCCATCTTTGGGCCTGAAGGGGCCTCACCCCTCATGGGCTCAGGGAACTGGGCCTGTCTCTCGGCTGCATTTGTTTAGAGGATGTGGTTCACGCTGTGTCAGAGGCAGGGCCTCATTGGTGCAGTGAGCCCCTGAAAGTCAAAGGCAGGAAAGGCTTAGAACAGTAGGCGCTAACATTTACATAGCACTCCCCGTGTGTCAGGGACGGTTCTAAGTGCCTCACTCACTTTAGAAGATGACCCCGCCAACCAGCTCCAACTCAACTAGAATATCTGAACGTGGTTTACGTCTCCCCAGCCTCCTTCCCTGGCTTCCTGTCCCTTATTTATTGTCCTAGTTATTTATTTATGTATTTCCCTCAGTTGTAGCAAGCAAGGCCAGGAGTTCTTGTGAGCATAGCCCATCCTGAGCCTGGCTCTCCAAGGGAAGTGGAGGTAAAGATGCATTCCAACCCACAGGCAACCGTGAAGGCCCAACCACTCTCTTCCACAGTAATAAGTGTCATTTACATTTTCCTGCTTGCTCATGGGAACAGACCAGGTCAGTCAACACTGAAGCCACAGCCTCTCCTGGGGGCCTCTCCAGACAGAACAGAACAGGCCCAACCTTGTCTGCATCCCACCGTGCCCTGGCAGGAAACAAAGGCTGAGCTTCCCTCGGGGTACTGCCTGGCTTCCTGGGTGCTTGTCAGCAGGTGCTATCTCTCCTCTCCTCCACAGAGCCTGGGGACCCAGCATGGGACAGCCCAGGACCAGGTACTGCCAGACATGAGCGCCAGGCCAGGGTCGGCCACTTCCAGGCTGTGCAAGTCATTTACCTTTTTTGAGCCTCAGTTTCCTCATCTGTCAAGTGAGCCTAAAACGCCTGCCTCAGGGTCCGAATCGGGGCCACAAAAGATGATGGATGTCAAAATATATGGCATTGTTTTTCCAGCGGCAAAGAGGCAGAGAAAGGTGGTACTCTTACACTGGTGAAAAGTCCATATGGCTGAGCACTTAACAAAGAAAATGCTATGTATACAAATCCATTTGAACAAGATAGAATAAAAATTTCTTTGTCATAAGCCTACTTTATAAATTAGTACATCAAAATGAAAGGCCTGGGTTGCTGTATTGATGTAATTCTTCTAGTTCAGATGAAAAACCTGGCTGTGTCTAAATCAGGATTTTTTAACCTTTTTTTTTCCCATAATCATCCCCCCAAGGAGCCTTTTTAGACAGTATTTTCTCCCCTCCCGCTCCATGAGATTCTAACACCCCAGGTAGTCTGCATGCCTTTAAATTTTTTTTAATTAATTTATTTTTTAAAATATTTTATTGAGGAATTGGGGAAGGGGACTGGCCAAGTAGTTGTTCTTCAATCTTCATTGTGGAGGGTGCCAGTCGCCATCTGGCTTCCTGTCAGCAGCTCGTGGCCTCTAAGCTCAAGGTGCCGTGTTCAATCTTAGTTGCGGGTGGGCGTAGCCACCATCCCATGTGGGAGTCGAACCAGCAGCCTTGTTGTTAAGAGCGCATGCTCTACCCACTGAGTCATCCAGGCAGCAGCTCAGCTCAAGGTGCCGAGTTCAGTCTTAGTTGCGGGTGGGCATAGCCCACCATCGAACAGGCAATCTTGTTGTTACACCAGTTGAGCCATCCTGCCACCTGTTGGCAGCTCAGCGACAGCTCAGCTCGGGTGCAGCGTCACTGGCCCATGTGGGACTCGACCTGGCGGCCCTGTTGCTCAGAGCTCGCTCTCTTAAGCCAACTCAACCAACTGAGCCACTCGGCCGGCCCATCCTGCATATCTGTTTATATGCAAGGACCCTTTGGAAGGTAGCAAATCGTTGTAATAGCTGAGATTTTTTTCACCCCTCCCTTGAGAATGCAGGGTTTATATGTTTGCAAGTTCTGAAAGAGTGAGGTCTGAATTAGGCTATTTTGTGGTATCTGCAGATCAGCCCTGCCCTTTGCTCTCCCCTCACCACAGTCAAGCTGGGACTCTCTGAACAGAAGAGAAACCCCTCAGAGTTCATGACTGACATCTCATCACCAAATGGCCAGGGTCCCTCCCTCAGCCACCCCCGTCCTGCCTGGCCTTGTGGCCACCTGAGCCAGCGGGCTCTGCCTGGGTGCAGTGTACTGGGAAGGGGCCCAGAGACCTCAGCCCAGCAGGTCCAGTCCTGGGGTTCATGGAGGATAAATTTGAGGGATCCCCCTGAAATCAAATGCTCAATCTTGTAAATAAGTATGTGCATTTTTCCTGGGTAAAAAGGGCCTGTAGGTTTTATAAGGATCTTTAACATGGGCAAGAGAGAGGTCTGGTCCAAAGCTGCCCCCTTCTCACCTGGACTGCCTGTGGCTGTCTCCGCAGCCAGGCCTCCCCCGCCCAAACTCTCCCACTTGTGCCCTTGACCATTATCCACCGAACACCTAAAATGCAAACCAGGCCCTCCTTTTCCTTGTTCCTTATCACACCTGTGGCAGATCCAAAATTCCTTATGGGAGCTACAAGGCCCAACATGTTCTGACCCCAGCGCCCACAGCGTGCCCACCCCCCACACTCGAGCCACACTGGCCAGTCTTCTGCGCCTAGTCAGCCAGCCTCCCTCCCGCCTCAGGCCTTTGCATCAGCTGCTTCCTCTCCTGGAATGCTGCCCCGTCCTCCCCCACCTCTACCTCCATCTCAGGGCTGGCTCCTTTTCCTGCTGGATCTTGGCTTAAATGTCACCTGCTCAGGAGGCCTTCCCTGACCATCCCACTTAAAGCAGCCCCCTCCCCAGTCACCATCACATCGTCCTAGCTGATCACTCCACAAGGCTCCCATCTGTAGCTGAGATTTTTTTGTTGTTTATTGACTTGTCTGTTTGTTGAATATCCATCTCCTCCATAAGAATATAAATTCCAAGAGGGCGGAGGCCTTGTGCACCGTGAACAGCGCCTGGCATATCCCAGGCATTCAGGAATACTTCTGGAAGGAATAGGTGAATGCTACCTCCCCATTTTACAGGTAAAGAAACTGAGGTTCAAAGGGGCAGTGACTTGCCTGAGCTAGCCTGAGAAAGGAAGCTTGGTGTTAGATCCAGGTCTCCTTGCTCCATGCCCCACCTCCCTGACACCTCCAGTCGCCACCTGAGACTCACCCCCAAGCTCTCAGTCCCCAGAAGACCAGGACACCCAGTCTGGCTTACCTCCCTGACCTCTGCAGGACACAGGCCTAGAATTTCAGCGATGGTGGTGGAGAGGGGTGCTTCTTGGTGTTGTTGTTTTTAAGTGTGATTAAATGTGTGTAACATAAAAATGTACTGCATTAACCATTTCTAAGTGTACAGTTCAGTGGCATTAAGTACATTCACATTATTGTACAGCCATCCCCACCATCCATCTCTAGAACTTTTTCACTTTCCCCAACTGAAGCACAGTTCCCATTAAACCCTAACACCCAATTCCCCTCTTACCCCAGTCCCCGACAACCACCATTCTACTTTCTGTCTCTATAAACTTGACTACTCTAGGTCCCTCATATAAGTGGAATTACGCAATATTTGTCTTTTTTGTGACAGGCTTATTTTACTTAGCATAGTGTCCTTAAGGTATATCCATGTTATAGCATGTGTCAGAATTTCCTTCCTGTTTCAGTCTGAATAATATTTCATTACTTGTATACATTGCATTTTGTTTTTCCATTCATCAATGAACATTTGGGTTGTTTCTAATTTTGGCAAATGATGCTGCTGTGAACACGGGTGTACAAGCATCTATCTGAGTCTCTTGCTTTCAGATTTTTTGGGGGGTATTTCCTCAGAAATGGAATTGCTGGGTCATATGGTAATCCTATTTTTAATTTTTTGAGGAACTGTCATTCTGTTTTCCACAGTGGCTGCACCATTTTCCATTCCCACCAACAGCGCACAGGGCGTTTCCTTGTTTTTGCGTATGTGTTTTCTTGATGAGAGGAAAGGGGGAAGAAACAGCTGAGACCTGTGGCCCCTAACTCTGCCCACAGCTCAGTGAGTCAGAATTTGGCCCTACTCGCCTTCCTCTTACCAGCTCTCCTGTCCATGAACCCCAAGCCCACACCTGTGGGACCACACGGTTCGCCTGGCTTATATATGAGGAAGCTGACAGCAGCACAGGTCCCCAAGCCGTCCCCAAGGGCACCCACCCAGAACCAGCTGTGTCTCTGAATTTACCTCAGGTTCTCCACAGTCCAGATAAAATCCACCCCCAGGAAGATAAAATCCATTCATAAACATAGGCCCCCAGGCACCAACCAAACAGGGCAGATGAAGCCACAGCAAAAACATGTCCTGTCAGGTCTGAAGAATTCCTTGAGAGTCACCAGGCCGGAAGCCTGTTGTTTGCTAGTGGTGAGTGTATGTGTGTGGGGGTGGGGGTTGGGGTTGGGGGGGGGCTGGGACAGCGGCCAACAATAAGCGAATTCTGGCGACCAAAGTCACAAGTAGTCAAGCCTGCAGGGCAAAGAAGAAACATTTACTATGCTTAAAGTACCTCCTATGTTCACTTTGGAACAAAAGGAGGGCTTTGGCATCCTAGAGCCGTGGCTGTTGAACTTGGGTGCATCTGAGTCACCTGGAGGGTATGTTACGATAGATTACTGAGCCCCACCTCCTCCACTGAGGGTTTCTGACTCAGTGGGTCTGAGGTGAGGCTAGAGAATCTGCCACAAATTCCCAGGTGATGCCGGTGTTGCTGGCCCATAGACCATGCTTTAAATAGCAAGGGACTCAAAGGTCTAGAAAGTCTGGGGTTTCGCTCCTGATCAAGTATCCTACATGAGTTCCCAGGCCGGGGAGCAGAGGAGGCTACAAGGGAGACGTAACACCTGGCAGAACTTTGTGGGCAGAAACAGGACTCAGCCTTTGGGCGGTCAATAGCCTGACTCAGGCTTTCAAGAAATAGTGACTTGAATCTGTCAGGGTACTTACACTTTGTATTTGCAAAATCTTTTACAGTTCACAGAGCATTCCACATCTGCCCTCTTGTCAGATCTTCACAACAGCCCAATATTTTATCCATTTTAGGGACAAGGAAACTGGGGCCCAAAGAGATGGGGTGGCTTGCCCAGCAGCCCGGCACCTCACTGAGCCCGTATCTGTGGGGCTTGTACAATGCTCGTGGCACCAGACGAGACATGAGGGACGGAGAGATAAGAAGAAACGGCTCCCACCTTCAGGGAGCCTCCGATCTCCTATGACAGGAACGTGACATGCCCAAATGACTTCGACTCGAGCCCGTGGGTGCGATGGACGTCCCTCCCACTCACATTTCACATTGGTTTGTTCTTTCCACTCTTTGTGGGACGGCACCTCCTCCGTGGTTTTAACGTCATCTACACTCTCACCACTCCCAGACCTCACCACCCTCCCCCGAGTGGAAGTTTGACATAACCAGCTTCCTGCTGCCACACAGGACGTGTCAGTGAGGCCCACCCTGCGTCCGTCATTTTCCCGTCGTCTGTGGCCTCACCGACGCTCACGTCGCTCACGTTGGATGGCTGGCCCTCAGCTTCCTCCCTCATCTTCATCCACAGCATCCACTTAATTTCCCAGTTTTACCATTTTCAACTCCTAAACGTTCCCCACATCCATCTCCTCCTCTTCAGCGCCCTCACCAGTGTCCCTGATTGTCTTGGCCAGAACTTCCTCCCCAGAATCAATGCAACAGCCTCCTATCGGATTCACTGTCTCCATCCCACCACCCTCAAAGCCATCCTCTAAAATACAAATCTAACCTAATCACTCCTGCTTCACATCCTTTCATGGCTTTCCAAACATCTTTCCATCCATTTGTCCATCCATCCATCCATCCACCCAATCACGCATTCACTTATTCATTGACACAACAAATACTATTGAGTATCTGTTCTATGGAAGGCATTGCACTGGACACTGGCCCTTAGTCTATCTAGTTCAAGTTAGTCTCACAGGAGAGGGGAGAAGATAAGAGAACCGGCTCCTAAGGAGAGCACAGGATTTTCAGGGAGCTCATAGAGGTGAGCTAACCCAGCCGAAAAAGCCTTCCTGAGCAGCAGGTTATGCTAAGACCAGGAGAAGGGGGAGGGCTGCCTGAGCAGTGGGCAGTTTCTGCCTGTAGAAACAATGTGTGCAACAGACCAAATCCAAGAGAGAATGGGCAACTTTGGGGAACTGGAAGTAGCTTGGTGTGACTGGATCTAGGTATGTGGAGGGCAGGGCCCGTGTGGGGACCACAAGAAGCTTAGTAACTAACAACTAATTAGAAAGAATGAGGAACATTGGGAAAACCTGAGGTGTTCCTCAGTGCTTAGTCCTTATAAGGTCTCACAAATTATTTGTTAGATGGGTGGATGGGTGGAGAGGTAAGCAGGTGGATAAATGGGTAGGTAGGTGGGTGGGTGGTTGGATGGATGAGGGTGTAGACGGATAGATGTGAGTAAATGGGTGGACAGATGGATGCATGGGTGGGTGGATGGGTGGATGTGTAAGTGGCTGGGTGGGTGGGTATGTGAAAGGCTGGACGGGTGATGGGTAGATGGATAGATGGATGGGTTCGTGGGTAGATAGATGGATGAAGGCTTGGTAGACAGGTAGACGGGTGGGGGGTTTTGAGCTTGGGTGCTGGGACAGTAGAGATATCATTAATAGAAACAGAAAAGTGACAAGGAGGAATCGCTGTGGCCTCCCCTGGCAAATCGCAAGCTGCCTGAACTGGCCAGAGTGTCCTGCTTTTCACCCAGGCCTTATCACAGCCAGCTCCCCCTTCTACTAGTCCGCGAAGACAGGCACCCCCAGATGGAAACTACACCTGGCTGGGAGTGTCCCTCCTCAACACGGTCTCCATGGGAACCTTGTTCCCCCCAAATCAAAGGACAAGGTGGATGCAAAAGTGTTTTGTAAACGGAAAGACATAGACGGGAGGAAAGCCCATCTCAGCGCCACATCTGTTGAGAGCACTCGGCATGCCAGCCACATCTCTGTCTACACCATTCTCATGAGTTCCCATTTTACAGATGACAAAACTGAGGCTCAGAGAGAGGAGCCAACCTGCTCAAGATGCCACAGTTACAATGTGGCAGGCCAGGGTTTGAACTCAGACTGGCCCACACTTTCCTCTATGCCATGCTCGCTTTCTGTTTGTCATGACTGTCACTGAGCAGTCACCCTCCACCTCTAGGCTCCTTGAGGCTCCAGTCCCTACAGATGCTACCACGAGAGCCACCAGGCTGAGGCCCGGGCTGGCTCCCTGCACCCGGAGGATGCTCTCCCAGGTCAACCATTTCCTCAGCACCCACTGAAGAAAACCTGTGCACCTAGTTGTGGCTCCCCAGGGTGGGGCACAGAATCAAAACAAGGAGCCGCTGCCATCTACCTCAGACACTTGATCATCCAGCTAAGAAAACTGAGAGCCTACAGGCAGGCAACCCAACACCTAAAAGCAAACCTTTAGACAAATCCTTATCAGCGTAGAGGTATCCCTGAGGGCTCTAATGACCATGAGAACTAGCCCCAAAAGGCAGGAAGGGCCTCTTTGATGCAAGGTTAAGAGCCTCTTGCACGGGCCAAGCCAGGAGGAGGCGCCTAGCTCTGGAGTACAGCTGCCGCATAAACAGTGATCTAATCCGCCGTTCGTCTCTTCTGTGTGTCACACGGGGGCACACAGACGATTACTCACAGTGCCGGGGATCCCTGAGCCCCAAGAGCAGGGAGTTTCCTGCAGGTCCAGCTTCCTTTCCTTTAGCTGGTCAAACTGCCACACCTTTTAAACAAGGCTGTTTCATTTCCTAAAATGAAATGAAACGTTTGTTTCAGAGGCTGTTGGTATTTCCCTCCGGGGCAGGTGTAGAAACTAGGCAGCATTTTTCCTCAGTCCCCAACCTTCCCCCAGATAGCCTCATTCCAGCAACCACGAGGAGACAGAATCTCATTTCGAAAACCCTCATAACTGTATCCAAATTCAGTCCCATGTGAGCTCACCAAGTCGCCGTGATCAGGCAGGGCTGGCACTGCTAACCTATTTCACAGAACCTGAAGCCCAGAGAGGCCAACCTAGTTGCTCAAGTTCACGGTCAGGTGGATCTGAAGCCAGGACCCAGGCGTCACGGCACCAACTCACTGCCTTTAAGCTCTTCTGACCACAAACCACAGCAAGAAATGCACTTGACGTTGTAACCCAGCACACACAGACATCCTACACGCACATGCATGCACACAGGAACAAACTTCCCCAAAGCAATACTTACCCTACTACGGGAATGCACCCTGATCACTTCTATTTTGTTTTTTCTAAACGCAGTTCATGAGCTACTGAATTGATTTCCTGACCCACTCATGGGTCACGATCCTTGGTTTGGAAACAGCTGGACTGACCCCCTCCTGCTCAGCCTCTGGACCCCAAGAAGGCGATGTTCCGATGCTCACTACAGACAGGTGAGGAGCAGGCACAGGGCGGTTCCAGGGGGAGTTGTCCCAGGGGAATTCCAGGTCCTTATGATTCTGCAGGACCTCAAACCTCAAACGGCCTGGCTCCTCCTGAGGCTCTGCGGAGGCCTGGGGGAGGAGGCCAAAAGCACCTGGCCCGGCCTGGGGGACCCCCACGCGGGCACCCCTGCAGTCAGGACCCACGCTCCCCCTCCAGCGATTTCCCACAGACGCGCCTCCCGGCTTGATCTAGAAAACCCCAGCTGGAGGCTGCCTGGTCCAGGGCTGAGGCAGAATCATGTGAACTCTGTCAGTCCGATCCGGTGTCAGGCTGGCGGTTGCCCAGGAACGTTCGCCAGCCACAGCATGAGGGTGGCGGGCCTGCTCCCTCCTCATCCCCAGCCTGCTTTCCACACACCCCAGAGGCAGGGAGCAACTCTGAGGGAATGTTAAAGCCTGAATTAGGGACAGGGGACCTCAGGGACTTGGGGGGGCCGGTGCAGGAGGAGCGGGGTGCGCTAATTTTACCCATCAAACCATCTTTGAGCACCTATAGGCTACCAGAAGAGGAGAGACAGGCAGTTGAACCCCTGCACCAGGGGTCCTCACTGGAGCCCCTCAGACAGGCTGATGCTCACGCAGGTAACTAGAATATACCGCGGACCCCAGCGAGAAAGGGCAATAGCCAAGGACAGGGGGAAACTGACTGATTCCAGTCCCGCCCCCAGTCTGTCACCCTTCAGTCACTAGCAACCAACATCTGGGTCAGTGGGTCCCATGTACCTTAGAAAAATGCCTGGGGAGCTTATAAATAGCAGAACCAATACCCAGGCCCTATCCCAGACGAATTAAATCACACTTCCTGGAGGTGAGGTGCCAGAACCAATGTTTTTAAAAGCTTCTGGACAATTCCAGCAGGCAGCCAAGTGGAGAAGCACTGATGTGTTGGAGACGTGTCGGGTCCTGTGCTGCAGACCAGCAGACCTAGGGCATCCGAGGAGGGTGCTGGGCCGTGAATAACACGGCATCAGTGCTTTTAAATAGCATAGCCCCAAGCCAGGAGCAAGCACAGGACTCTGGCCTCATGGGGTCCTCGGGCTCTCAGGAGCATCTACTAAACTCCCACAACACACAGCAGGGCTGACGGGACCCCTGGAGGTTCCCTGGCCCAGTCTCCTCCTCATGCCGGCAGGGAAACTCAGGCCCAGCCTGACAAAGGCTCTTGACCTGGGTCTTAACAGCTAACTGACAGAGCTGTGATTCTAGAAACCTGCTGCCAGCTTCAGGAGCCGTGCTCTTTTGGCGACATCTCCTCCCTTGGGGGCAGTCAGTCTCCTTGGAACCTTGCTGGAGCCAGGAAGCCAACGCCCACCATGCATGGGGGCACTGAGGACTTCTGTGCTCCCCACTCTGTTCGGTGGTCTGTGGGACTTGTCTTCTGCAGATAGCAAATCGCTATAGTCCTGTCAGGGGATTGGACTGGAAGGACCCCCAGGAAAAATCCCCCTCTGCAGTGCCTGGGCCCTCCAAGCAAACGCTAGCATACACAACAGGCACTTTTCAATGGTCTCCTAGGTTAGATGCTCTAAAAGGCTGGGCCTTGGGCCAGCCAAGTGACTCAGTTGGTTAAGAGCACAAGCTCTGAACAACAGGGTCACCGGTTCGATCACCACATGGGCCAGTGAGCTGCGCCTGAGATGAGCTGCAGCTGAGCTGCCAACAGGTGGCAGGATGGCTCAGCTGGTGAGAGCGCGTGCTCCTAACAACAAGGTTGCCGGTTTGACTCCCACATGGGATGGTGGGCTATGCCCACCCGTAACTAAGATTAAACACGGCACCTTGAGCTGAGCGGCCGCAAGCTGCCGATGGGTGGTAGATGGCGACTAGACTTGGAGCTGAGCTAGCTGCGCCCTCCATAAGGACAACAACTTGGCTGTTCCCCTTCCCCAATTCCCCAATAAAAAAATCTTAAAAAAAAAAAAAAAAAAAGGCTGGGCCTGTGGTGCAGAAGTGTGAATGTAGACACAGATGCTATTCCTGAGTTATGGAGCTGTGGCTGGCTTTCCCAATGTCATACGAAAGGCGGGTGGATTAGGAGTGCAGGGTCAACTTAGTGGTGAGTGCCTGGCTTCTCCCAGGACACACCGGCTCTCTCTACAGGTGGCCCAGCCTGCAGGACACGCACACACTGTCCAATCTATACCATCGCTGTCTGTACCAAGCTGCCCCCGGGCTGCCCAGCCCCCTCTGTCAACAGCATGGATACACCATACCTCACTTGGAATGGGGAGCCCTCCTCTCTCCAGGGCCAGGAACCCCCGTCTCTTCCCCTCCCCACTGGGCCTCTGGGACTCAGACAGCATGAAGTTGACCAGTTTTACTCAAAACAGCTGAGCCCATGTCCTCTGTGAAATGCCCACTCAGCCCGAGAAAAAAGAGCCGTGTTCTACTTCAGTGCTAGGATTTTGTCTTTAATCTAAAACAGGAAAGGAGGATGAGAAACCATGACGACACCAAGCATCAAGCATTGGCCTGAGATGTCCTACAGACCCCATAGCCTTGACTTCCCCCAAACCTCTCCAAGTAAACCTACGACTAAGTAAAAGTAGTGAGCTTGTAATAAAAACATAACCTCAAGAGAAGCCCCTGGCCTACCCTCTCCCCCTCCCCCGGCCCATTCAATCTTCTGTCCTTAAATGCAGAGTGGCAGAATCTTGGAGCTGCCTCTGAGCAGAGGGAGGTGTTTAGTGAAGAGTGAGAATGTCCGAGCCCTGTGGGGTGTGGTGACCTCACAGGGGCTGCCAGGGCCCACACCCACCTCTCTGGTTCCTTCCATCCTGGAAAGACACAAGGGCCTAAGTTGGG